GGAACATCAATGATTTGAAGAACAAAGAAGAGAAAGAATGACTTTACCCAGGCAGAAAGAACAATAAGAATCACCAGGCTGTTAAATCTCGTCAGGCTTCTTTTATCTGATAAACAAAACTTATTCTAGATGATTTCTCAAATTGTTTCCAGCTTTGAAGTTTCTGTGGTTCTGGGAGCTGTCATTCAATGGGCATTGTGTTCAGCTGGAGCGATGCATTTACGTTGAAAATGGCGCAAGACAGCGATTGCATTGTGTCGGTAGAGTGGGGTCTGGGATAGTCACTGTGTGGCACTGGAGATTTTTTAAAAATCAAGTGACAGATATTGAACAAGTACCTCCTACACGGCAGACATGTTGCCAGGTGCTATAGAAGACACAAAGAAGTTAACCAACGTTTTGGAGAATAGATTACTTACTACTTATGGGGAGTTGAGTTGGATAAAGACAAAAAAAGATTGAAAATGAAGAATCATGGGATATGTTCCCAGGGGTCTAGACTTCACAATACGGGGTAGGAAACAGAGATGAATATAAAATTACCTTTGAATATGATCTACAAGATTTTTATGAAGAAGAAAAAACAAAACTCTAACATGAACCTGTGATTTGTCTCCTACAATTAGATATATTAAATTTCCATTCATCGGAAGTTCTGCTTAATTAATTTGGGGTTAACTATAGTTTTAATGCAAGTAAAAATGCATAACTTCATCTTCTATTTTATAGACCAATAAATTAATTTAATGTTCTTCATGTGGTAGAATTGGACCTTTAGGGAATTAAGACATTCTACACAATTTGCCCATTTCTATTAAAATGCATTCTCAAGTGTTAGAATCACTTGAAAATTCTGCCAAATGTCATGTTCACTATAGTATTCTACTGTTAATTTTTATTCAGAAACACCTATAGTTCCCATGACTCTTTGACTCTAATGGCTCTATCCTGACTTTATTTTTTCTTTAGTTACAGATTTTTAAAGTTTTGTGTTTCTAGAGAAATTACAATCCTGAGGATTTTGGAGAGAGAGCATTTCGAGGCATTTTCATGTTTAGTTTTGGCTTCTGGATCATGCCTTGATATAAACTCACTGCAATTATTTTTGTTTGTCTTAAATATCTGCATTCATTTAGCTTTCTCGTGTAACATAAGACCTGGGACCAGGAGTCAGGACAGCTGCCTTTCAGTTAGGTCTGTCACTTATTGTTGGGCATGTCCTTTACTCTGATGGGCCTCAGTTTTACTTGTCTCTCAAAGGAGGGCTTGAACTAAAAGACAGTACAGGCCGCACTCTCTTTGCAATATTACTCTTCCATATGGGTTGATCACTTTTCTTCATTTGGTTAACCATCTTTTAGTTTAATTTTTTAAGGGTCTGTTTCTTTAAATTTCTTTTCTTTCTTTCTTTTTTTTTTTTAAGGTATTGTCAGAAGTCCATTTGAACCACATACCCTGGGGTGCTCATTTACAATGAAGATTCTTAATTCCTATAGCACTTTCACTAAATCAGACTTTCTAAGGAAGTACTTTCCCATTTGTAATGTTTGTACAAGTCTCACAGGGATTTTGTTAAAATGAAAACTCCAATTCAGTGTGTCTGGAGTAGAATGTGAGATTCTACATTTGAAACAAGCTTACCGGTCATGTTGCTGATCTGCAGAACACATTGTGAATAGCCAAGATGGGAGCTCCAGCCCAGCAGAACCCTATCTTGAATGGAGACAGAGTTGGCCAGAAGTGAAATGTTTAAAATGTAGCAGTCCTGCTTAAAATGTAGCACGTAGCATCTGGGTTATATAAAGTAGAGAAGAAAAGTGTTGCAGAATAAAGATTAATGACTACAGTGCAACATGTGTCAGGTGCTCTTATGAGTGGTCCTATCAGAGAACCACATTCATGGCTGCTGCTGTTTTAGTTTTAGATCGTGTGAGTGTGCTGAAATTCCCAGCACCATGAAGTTAGGAGAAAATTGTTTCCTTTTTACTGAGGGCTGCTTTGCTGCATGCTGTCCACAGGCCCTTTCTCCCATTTCCTTCCTAAGAGTTGACAGTGTGTGTGGCTGGTGTGATCACATTGTACTTAGTTATAGAACTCTGGTCTCTTTTCTCATTCTGTGTGCTGATGACTAAAAAGATTGTTTCTGCTGAGGGGTGAAAAGGCCTTCAAACTAGTTTGCTTTCTAGTAAACAGCAGGCCCGGAGAGGCCCCGAGGAGATACCTGGCATCGCCCTGGGGATTATATCTGTGCTAGTGTTTTCTTTTTCTTAAGTTTTGAAAAAAATTTATTGAGATATATTGACATATGACATTACATTCCTTTCATCAGTATAATCTATTAGTTCAACTTTAATTTTTAAAGGGTCTGTTCCTTTCAATGTGAACAATTGGTAATTGGGTGTAAAATAGCCTTACATTAATATCCTTGGATATCTTTTCCTTCTACTGCAGAACTCTAAGGCAAAAATGGCTTTGTAGAAATGTGTGCATTTGCATGTTTAAATGGAATGTGATTTACATTGTGCCAAGCACCATCACTGACAATGATGTGAGCTTTGAAATAAAGCTGTGACTTAAAAGTGCATGTGGCATATGTTCTACTCCAATTTAGCGATATGCCTAGGGAGACTTTCTTTCTTTTCTTTCTTAAACCCTGCTGAATCTAAGACTCATGTAAACGGATTGAGTGTTTTTTCTCTGCATGGATATAATATTTATATATCACTCAATTTTTGAACGTCAGATAGCTTTAAATCTCATTTCATGTTGTTATGATAATCATAATGGTAAGTCACACTTCAAAAGTTCTTAGTAGATGCCAGGCTATGTGCCAAGTGCTTTATATAAATTATCCTTTTACTCTATGGTATGATCTCCATCGTTGAGCTGCTCTATTTAATATGTACATATGGAGAATCTTAATGCTCAGTTAATATTGCACACACAATATGTGCACGCGCGCACACACACACACACACACACACACACTAAATGCTGGTGAGGAAAAGAAACAAGAATAATCTTTAACAAAATACCCTAAAGTCATGTGACAGATTTAGCAAATTCTTTTTATTTACATAGAAATGTGTACACATACGTTCTCTGTACACAGAAAATTCTAAGCATATATACATATACAATTCCCACATATTTTACAATAAATAGTATTTTAATCTTGTTTCTAGATGAAAATAAAAGGATGTCTCAAAATATTTCACATCAACCACAAAATTACAAAAGCACCTGATGAGCTCAGAGCAAAAATGTTAAGCCTGTACTACCACACACTAAGCCGAGTACGATTTTTACAAAAGACAAAAACCAAACACTGTGCAGAGAGCAGGAGAAGGAAAGGGATGGAGATGCAAAATAGAGACCAGAGAGGCTGACTTTGCAGCAATGCAGTGAGAGCGTTTTTGTGGTTCGGACTGATTTTCCTTCAGTCCTCAACTTAATGTTTTACTTTAACTTATATTTTACAGATAAGGAGGGGAAAAGTTAACATGTAAAAAAGGGTAACCATTGCATGAGTCTTATGAGTTCTAGAAACCTGTTTACAGGTCCCCCAGACCCTTAGTCTGTGCTAGTTCCAGGATCATCCAGTTCTATAATCCAGGGGGACCGTCCGCTCCCTCAGAGAAGATGGGAAGAACACTGTGAAGAAACATTAACTTGTACATACTTTCAAAAGCCCGATGAGCCTGGCCAGTGTGGCTTAGTGTTGGGGCGTCAACCCATGCACCAAGCGGTTGCTGGCTTGATTCCCCGTCGGGGCACATGCCCAGGTTGTGGGTCTGATCGCCAGTGGGGGGCATGCAGGAGGCGGCCAATCGATGTTCTTGCTCATCAATGCTTCTATCTCTCTCTCTCCCTCTCCCTTCCTCTCTCTCTGGAATCAATAAAGGAAGAAAAAAAATTAAAAAAAAAAAAAAGCCTGATGAGTCAGGGATCTTGGTTACTAGTACTTAATAATCATTGGTAATATTTAAATATACTCTTTATTTCCACATAGAATTTAATCCTTCATTCAAATAATTAGCAATGCAAAGAGAACTTAATCTGGGAAGCTAGAAACAATGAATCCATAATCCTGGAATTCCCTCCTTCACTTCCAGTTGTTCTCCTATTCCAGCCTAAGAAACAATTACTTTCTCTCCATTTCAGAGTTGTTCTACATCTATATAAAAATCATCCTACCAAATGAATAGAATGGGGTTAGTGGGTACACAGGTTTATGATAATTTTGACAATCTCTCACAGCACTGAATTTGGCAAAAGAATCCAAAAACACCATGATGTTCATTACTGTTGCACTGACTTTTACTATATCCAGATCTGCCTTCCCAATACACCAATATTACTACTCAGATGAGAATTATAAGGACGTTGACCATCATAGGGCTAAGTGTTTAAATCACATTTGCTCAACTCCAGCTCAGATAATAATGTATTTAGTTCCACTGTGGCACTGTAACTTCACGTACGAGTTTTGAAACAAATTTCACCCCTTCATCTCTCATATCACTAACAGCACAGATGTGGGGGGAAAGACAGCAATAAAAAAAGAATTCGATGCCAGAAGTGCAATTCATTTATCAAATACGATCTTTTCAGTTACTTGACTGAATCTGCTATTTTTAAGGTAACCTTCCAAAACACATTTCAAGGCAGGCTCATCTCAGGAGCACCGGTTATCACATGCATAATTCGATTCTTTCTTGTTACACGTTGCTATCACTGCTTCTTTCCGAGAAACAGCATTTCCAGGACTTCACCATCCTACATAGAAGTGATGGTTTCCTAAACAGTTTGACTCTTTAGATTAAGATACTTATGATCGAAACAAACACACTTCACACTTAGAGATGTTTCCTTTCCTTTCCTTTTTTTTTTTTTTTAATTCGTAAACCTATTAGGGAACTAAGGTTCACTGCCAGAAACAAAAGGAATCCTTGACCGTGAAGAGCTGGGCTTGGTTCTTGGTCATTCTAAGTAAATACATGTCTGTCCCTCACTTCTATCACTGTGGAAAGATTCAGCCAGAAGATAAGTAAGGAGTCTCACTATGGTAATTGTAGTCAGGACAGACCTTTTGCACGAGTTTATAATCAACACTGTAAAAGGCAATGTAAATGCAAATGACCTTGAAGGGCTTGGAGCACAACCAGGACACATGGCTCTGAGTCTGCTCCTGGTAGCAGATCTTGGATGGGTCAAAGTTGCATAGGGCCGTCTTCTTTGCCCGATCTGTTTTTTCATACTCAATGCGACAATTGAAAGATTTGGATTCCTTGGTCTCCAAGGAAGACTGCGGGGAAACTTCAAATTCCACCACTTTGGAGGGGGGTACCAAACTCACTGACACATTGCCCAGGCCGGTGGAATTGTGTCGGAAATAAACACTGAAAGTTCCATTTCCATGGTCAACAATTTTCCCTGTGATCAGGAGGTTGAGTTTAACAGTTTTAATGTTGGAATGGAAGTCACCCCATCCAAACATTTTCTTAAATTTTCCCGTTTTTACTATTGGCCTCCGTTTAGTTCTTGCCAGTGGCTCCTGGACCTCCGTGATGTTGGCCAGCCAATCCCAGAAGTTTTCCATGCTGTCCGCATAGGCCAAGTGTCCAGGCTTTGGGACTGGGGACTGTTTAACAAACAGGCGCAGAGGATTGATGATCCTTGAATGAACCACGTTCCCGACCAGGGTCCCTGGAGCATCTTTGTCTTCCCAGTCCAGCCCCTCTGTGGCATGCACCACCTTTTTACTGTCACAAAATAACTGTGTGGAAAGAAAAAAGAGAAATACATTTTAGGTTAGACTTTGAGCACACACGTACTATAAAACCAAAGCACAAGGGAAATTCTTGCAATATAATTTTGATTCTTGCCAAATAGCATTTCCCACACACAGCTGGCTCAGCGGTATAACGAGATGAGCATTTAATTCAAGCAATGTACATTTGTGAGCACACAAATTAAAACGATGAGATTAAAAAGAAAGTGTTTTATTTTAATGGGTTGATGTAATTTTACTGTTTCCTAATCTTTACAATTCTACCTTTCCAGATTGGGGGAAGTAGTATATTTTGATCTCTTATTTAATAAAAACATTAAATTTGTGATGTCTTTTCTTTCAGGTGGAAGACAAATCTAAAATGCTGAAGGTTTCTCTCAAGGAGCTAGAAAGCACCTGAATATAAGATACTGATGACTTAAATATATTTACAAATATTAGGATATTATTATATTCAAAGACTTAGGTCATATCATAGCTTTTGATATAATTCTATCTCAAACTCTGTAACAAAAAAAGAGTGTGGCTAATAATAGAAAGTCCTACAAAAGTTCTGCTTGAAAAAATATCATTTCAAATTTAGTTGCCTTTATAGAAACAAGTAAATTAGAAATGTGTAATTTGAATCAATTAATAGACTGTGTATATTGCAATAAAGTTTATTACAACTGAAGTATACCCTGAAAAATTGAATTGCTAAGAGTTATACATATGGTTTATAGATTCCACAGTATTTTTGGTTCAAATAGTACCCACTGAAACATAGCGCTTGATCTGCTTTTGATTTTTCTTTTTATTCTTTTCGTAGTAGTGTAAGAGTCCCCACGATTTCTAAAAATCATCGAGTTAAGTCAACATAGATTTTGAGGCACAGAATTGTAATATATGAAACTGTTGCCTGGAGTGAATATTTATAAATGAGTTATAAAGTCTGGAAAATAGAGGTTTCTAGTGGAAACACAGATAGTCTCTTATCTCTAATAGCACAAGCCATGCTGGTAATGATTCTTGGGGAAACTGTCAGCATGATGGAAAGGATGAGAAAGAAGTGAGAATGTGTGTATGTCCCGTTGCCCCAACCCCTTCAAACTTTGCAAAGCACCTGGTGAAAATAGTCTCTGATTATTACAAAAATTATTGCTTTCAATCCAATTAAAAAAAAAAGAGAGACATAGCCTGGATTATAACTATTGTACTCAACTACACAGTAGAGTTTAATAACACACGGCTATCTTTTGTAAGTTCATGATAACTTAGAAGTTCAGATTCGGACAGAGCTTTGTGGAAGTGTGCTCACCTATACCTCGTCCCCACAATCACTTTAGAGTAGGTATCCGAGGGCTTAATGTGTGGGTTTGCTTATTTTTTGCTTTGGGATGGGGAATTTATAATATATTTTGGCCCCTTTGATTAATTTTCTGAAGACTTTGCCTCTTCATCTCTAGTATTTTTAAAGATTCTTTTTAGTTAAATTACTGAGGGTTTGGCAGAAGGGCAAATTGATATGGTGTAAATTCTTACTATTTTGAGAACTTAAATCTGTATTTCTTCTTCTTAGGGGCTTATGCATGCTGAACTGATACTTTTCTCTCTCTCTCTTGGTATTGAAAAGTTCACATATTTATTAGGAAAAGGGGGATCTGGCTCAAAATATTCTGGGTATTTCTGATACTATAACCGTTTTCTGATTTTGAATACTCTTAAGTATGACATTCAACATTGGTAATAGCCTGTGGAGTCTGTACTGGCTCCAGTTATGACTTGAGTTTCCTGAGAACTGATGCAGCCTCGTCCAAGTGATGTGTCCTGGCCTCTCCCCAGCGAGAGACCCAAGGACACACGAGCAGATAAGAAATTATTTGATGGTCAAGGTCCAATTTCTCTTCTCTGTGATTATGATTCTTGTTGCACAGCTTCTATTATCCATTTTTCACCCATTTCCAGTATTTTATGAACTCTGCCTTGCATGGTGACAGAGACCCCCCCCCCCCACTTGCTAAGAATCATGGGTACGCAAGAACTTGTCCTTGACTTCTGGTCTCCAATCCCCTGTTTGGTACAATTTCCTAACCTCTCCCCTCATTCCTGCCTGCCTTTCTCTCTTTCATACGTAAATGCTCTTTGACATTTTCCCCTTCAGCTTGTTATTTTCAAAATCTCAATTCTTACCTTTACGTACATTCTGCTGATTAAATCTGTTTTTCACTCAGAAGTATGACAGTAATCTTTGCTACCGGCAGCAATATGCTTTTTTTCCCCCTTAAAATGTTTGTTTTACATTATACATTTTGCTGACTTTTTTCTGCCTGGATCATTTTACTTGATTTAGCACATTGCCTGATTTTCTCTTTATTTTCATGTTATTGGAAACCTATAAATATTGACCCCATCATTCAAGGACAAGTAAGTTCACAATCATGAAGACTCTGAAGTTGACTGGTGTTGGTACATTTTGGAATATATGACAGAGTCCTTTAGGAGCTAGACATTATAAGATCCTTCTCTTACCTCTAAGAACTTTTGTGGTGATAATGAAATTACTCAATGATAATAAATAATAACCAAAAATGGTCACATACTGAGACTTAAAAAAAAAATCTAAAAATTTTCTTTGTAGTAAATTATGTTAAACAACTTGACCCAAACATACTCACCCTAAGAAATATGAGTATAAAAAAAAAAAATCCAAGTTTATCAAACAGCTTGATTCAATGTGATTATTTTCTTCTAGAAGAGCTCCTTAACTCTTCAGAAGAGGTTCTCCATATGAGAATTTGAAATGAAATTTGATTTCTAAAAAATAAATTCTAACTACACCTCCCAGGTTCAAACCTGCTCAAAAGCCCTTGATTTTCAGGGTGGACTTTATAAAAAATGATAAAACTTAACTAAAAGAACAGATCTATCATTGTTCTCTGTGAAAACAGTGAAAACAGTCACTGACAGTTCCTTAAATGAAATGTGTATGTATATAAATTTTTAAGTTTTTTATTTGCTCTAGACCATCACATCTCACTTGCTTGGACAACAGCAGTAAACAAGTTGAGAAACAGCTGTATATAACTTCATGTATTTATTACTTTAAAATACATGGACAGACCAGCCGGTGTGGCTCAGTGGTTGAGCGTTGACCCATGCACCAAGAGGTGGCCATTAGGATTCCTGGTCAGGGTACATGCCCAGGTTGTGGGCCCAATTCCAAGTGGGGGGCAGGGGGACGTGCAGGAGGCGGTTGGTAGATGTTTTCTCTCCCCCTCTCCCTTCCTCTCTCTCTAAAAAATCAACAAAGAAAAGATAAAATAAATACATAAACAGTTCTCACAGATACGATTTCCATATATAGACCCAAATCTCAAAAAGCTATCAGATAATGATGTATTATTAAAAGGGTAAATATGTTTCTAGTTGTCTTAAAAGTATGACAATTGAACTTCCTCTCCCAAATTCCTCTCCCTTTGGTATAACTTCTACAGCCTTCCCCTTGGAATATTTTCTTTTTCTTTTTTTTATCCTCACCCAAGGACACCTTTCCAATTTTTGCTCAGACAGAGTGGGAGGGAGAGAGAGAAACATCAATGTGAAAGGGACATATCGAGTGGCTGCCACCCACACGACCCAACCAGGGCTGGGGACAAACTTCAATGGAGGTACATGCCCCCACCAGGAACCGAACCCGAGTTTCTCGGGACCACAAGAAAACACTCAAACCGCTGAGACAAACCGGCCAGGGCTGGAATATTTTCTTAAAATGCGTGCAGCCCAGTTTAGGGGGCACTCTCTGCTAGGGTCCTATGACCTAAGACAGAAAGGCTCGTGCTTCACCTCAACACACCTGATCAGGGATGACTGGGGTTGGCTGAGTCCCAGCCCTGCCCCCACGCAGCCACACACTCCCAACCAGCAAGCGGCAGGGTAAGAAAGAGCATAGACTTGGCACCTGATGACTCATTGCTCCTCACTTCAATGTTTGACGTGAACCCCAGTTTTTTCACCTGTATGTACTTGGCTGGTTGATTGTAAGGACTAACTAAAAGAACGTGGCCATTACGGAGCTCAATCTCTGGCAAAGGCATCCAATCACTGATGGCTCTTGCATGGTCCAATGGATAGCCCCAAGTCTCCTACTTAAGAATTGTCCTCAGTCTACGGCCATACCACCCTGAACGCGCCCGATCTTGTCTGATCTCGGAAGCTAAGCAGGGTCGGGCCTGGCTAGTACTTGGATGGGAAGAATTGTCCTCAAAGGGTTTTATGGATTCACAGGCCTTCAGGAAACTGATAATGGTTAATAAAAAAATGTGCTCAGTGCCATGTGATACATTAATGACAGAGTAGAAATCAACTTTCTCAACCCCGGAGCACCTATCAAATGTTCCCTGTGTTTCCAGTCTCGCTGGCGTCTGAGTCATCGCCAGATCGCAGGTGCAGGTGAGCTCTCCTGGCCAATGAAAAATGTTTGTGGATTTTCGATTCCAACTTATCAAATTAGTCAGCAAAGGGAGCTGAAATTTCACCATGTCAAGCAGGTGCCCATTCCTTAACAATCACTATGATACATCCTGCTGGGGGAGGGCTGTATGTGGTTCTGAACCTGTTGGCAAACCACTGTCCATGGCTGCTGGGTGTTTCCCACAAAACACATGCCTGTATCCCACTGGCTCCTTTCCTGCCTGCCGAGGCTCCCTGTGCAGAATCGGTATCACCGCTGCCTTTGTCCCGTCACATTACAATAATGATGCAAAAACATTTAACAGAAAGCACGGAATTTGGTTTCAAAAGGGAGAAAAAGAGGAATGGCTGTGTTTTATCTGTTTGAACATTCCCTGATTTCAACACATTTATCAAAGCTTAAGTAATTTATGTCTTGGCAGGGTGTATCACTTTCACAAAGCACACACATTAGCTAGATACAATGATATCGGATTAGCTTTTTCTGCATCTCACAGAAGAGCTCAAAAAGATTAATAAAAGCTCAAACCTTCATCAATTAAATGGAGCAGGTGGAAGGAAGGAAGAAGACTGTATTTCATTGCAGTTCTTTTGTTTTTAGAGGGAGGAAAGCTGACAGGTTCAAATCATTCATCATAACAAGCTGGAGTTGAATTTTACTGATAATTAAATGCATTTTTTTTCCCAAGAGGCAGAAAGCTGCAATGAATTTTATAGTAGCAGATGTGAGAACTGTGACAAATTATGGAAATAATTTATAAACTAAAAAGCATCTTCCTCTTCGAATACTATATCAGAAGATCCTTTCTCAACCATATATTTTATGTATTTTTCAGTAAACATTTTATTTCAAAATAAGTTTACAGAAAAGCTGTGCAGTACAAAGAGTTACCATATACCCTGCACTCAATTTCCTATACTGTCAATATCTTACATTATAATACATTTGTTGCAACTAATGAGTCAATCTCCATACACTATTGTTAACTAATGTCCCTACTTTACTTAGATGTCCTTATTTTTTTCCTTCCTGTCTTCATCTGCTCCAGAATCCCCTGTAGGATTCCCACATCATATTTGGTCCTCTTGGGATCTGGAATAGTCAGACCTTTGCCATAATTATGATGAAAACCCCTTAGGTACATCCATCACTGTGATACTCTGTTGCTTCCCTGTAGTTGCACTAGGGGCTGGGTCCTAAACTGTGGGGTAGGGGAGGAGGGGCCTGGGAGAGAGGAGAGCTTTCTCCTCAGCCAGGGGCGAATGGGAAGGAAGCTGAAGGCATTTAAAGCTTTGAATTTCTGAGGTTCAAATTTCATTCAACACGTAGGGATACCATTTTCAGCCCTATCCTACACCGCTCCTAACAGGCGGTGTTTCTCTTTTGTGAACAGATACCCGCGGAAGAGCTCTCACCCCAGGCCCATGCTGAACCGTTCTGGTTGACAGGTTTCTCTGCCACCTCGTGCCCCTTCACTGTCGGCCAGGGCGCAGGCCAGGCCAGCCCTTCCTCAGTAACTGAAGCTTTGACATCAGCTCACTGCCCCTGAATATAGCTCTCCTGACTTTAACTCCCCTTGTTTGAGGTAGAGAGAGGCCTAAAACAGTTTAGAAATAGTTCCACAAAAGTATGATTTATTTTGCAAGAGTAGGTTCATTGCTTCACTGATGTTAGCCTGTATCTGCAGCCACATGAAGGCCTGTGCGCCTGCATCGCACGTGGGAGAACAAGTGGAAGTCTGTGTGCGGGAGACACAGCCCCCGGCGGCCGAAGTGACCCAGGCAGAGCAACTGTGCCAAGCGGGAATGAGCAGGGGATGGAAACGCAGTGGTTTGATTTACTGAAATGAGTTGAGGTCAGGAGAGGTGGAATGGAAATCTGGCCCCGTCACTCATGGTCCCATCCTCCTGCGGCAGTCTCAACAGGGACACAGTGAAAAGGTGGGAGCTGGACTTGAAAGCGATGACGGGGCTGCGAGGTAGGAAGTGGACCAGGTGAGTCAGGGACCTGCAAGGGGGGGAATTCTGTAGTGCAGAGAATGCGGAGACCGAGCGGCGGTTGCGAACGCGTGCATGCACTTCCAGTCACTGGGTCTGCACGCAGTTCGCGAAAGCCTCCCTGTGCGCTCTTTCTGCTCGGAGCTCTGGGAGCACACTGCTGAGCAGGGCAGACACAGCTCCTGTCTTCTTGCGATTTGCAGAAGAGCAGGGACAAAAAGAACATTACATTAATAGTCATACGTAAATAATATCTCACTTATTTATAGTTGTCCTAAGGGTCTGGAAATATACATATATATACTGATATCCAGATATCAGTATAACAGAAAGCAGGGAGCACTCATCGTAAACAGGGGAGGCAACAGTGCAGGGAGGGAACAGAACTGAATAATTAATATCTTTATTCTGATGAGAGAAATAAAATCCAAGATTTACTAGTTGATAGTTGATAATGAATGAATTTATAACAAGACTACGAATCGATCTTGGTAGTTATATTCCTTTCCTCTTGCTCCAAATTGTTTATCGATTTGTTTATAATTACTAATGAGAGTGTGATAACATTATAAACAATAGTTATATTTTTTCTACAGGAAGGCTCATTCTTTTATTTTCTTTTTTTTCAACTTTATTGAGATTAATTGACACACAGAATTGTAATATATGTATTTGCAGGGTGCAGTGTGATGACTTGCTGTACATTCACCCTGGGAAAGGACGCCCACCATCAA